CTTATGAACTCACCAGCTTAATGCTGATAAACTCTTTCAAAATAACTTGTATTCTCAGGTCATCAGTAGACAGGTACCGAGGCCAGATTTTGAGAAGATGGAGCGCATTCAAGACTCATCTTATTATTTTGATATACGTTATTTTTGGTGTCTAAAATGTACAGAACACACTTGTATTAAAATTATATATTTAATGCAATGGATGATGTTGTTTGCTTATTTACATTTACTGTGTTGTGATACTTTACATGACGTCCTCCGCCCCAGAACGTTTCCACCATTCTTGGTTTTGGGGTGTGACAGAGTGCCTAAAGATAATAATGATTTGTATTCATCAACAAATTCTTCCATAAATAACGAAAGTCTGCCTGTTAGATCAAATGTTCAAATTGAGGAGGAGCACTTGAATTATACTGTTCAAGTTTAGGGAGGGGCATACTTTTGAGGAGGAGAGAGAAAGAATGAATGTTGATGTTGAGGGGGAGCATTCTGATAATAATCCAATTATCGAGGGGGAGCAAGATGCAAATAATACAAATGTTTCTAATGTTCAAAATGATAGATGTCTTGATATAAATGATAGTTTTTCAAATGAAGGAAAGTGATCTTAAACTGAAGAAATGTTCGAAGATGCACCATTGGATTTTCATCCTGCATATCCTCCAATGGATAGATGGACATGTAGTCATCCTTAAGAACCAATTCTTGGTGATCCACATGCTGGAGTCTTGAATAAAGTTCAGATTCGTGCAAAGAATGAGGTACTCAATACTCACTAGGAATTTTGTATGTTCAATGTCTTTATTTCAAAAATTGAACAAAAGTCGGTAAAGATTGCAATGGAATATCCTGATTGGATTGTTTCTATGCAATCTGAATTGGATGAGTTTGAACAAAACAAAGGTTTGGAGACTTGTTCCGAAACAAAAAGATACTTCTATCATTGGTCTTAGATGGATTTCAAAAATAAAATTGATAAAGAAGGTAGTATAGTGAGAAATAAAGCAAGGCTAGTTGTTAAAGGATATTCTCAACAAAAAGGTATATATTATGATGAAACCTTCTCCCCTGTCGTGAGACTCAAGGTTGTTCGAATATTTTTAGCCTATACAGCACATAAAGATTTCGATGTATATCAAATGGATGTTAAATGTGCTTTTCTCAATGAATTTCTCAAAGAAACGGTTTATGTTAAACAACCACCAGGTTTTGTCAATTCTCAATACCCTAATCATTGTTATATTTTAGATAAAGTTGTTTATGGTCTTAAACAAGCTCCACATGCCTGGTATGCCACTTTTACTAATTTCTTAAAATCTTCGAAATTTAAACAGGGATATGTTGATCCCACTCTCTTTTGAAAGAAAGTTGGGAATCATCTCATGCTTCTTCAAATTTATGTCGATGATATTATTTTTGGTTCAACTGATCCTCAATTTTCAGTTAAATTTGAAAATATGATTAAAAGTCAATTTGAGATGAGCATGATAGGGAAGATAAACAATTTTGTGGGATTAAATATTCATCAAATCATAGAAAGAATTTTCATCAATCAAGAGAAGTATACAAGAAATCGGCTTCAGAAGTTCGGAATGATGATTAGTTCAAAGTTGTGTGTACCAATGGCAGTTGGAACAAGACTAAATCCATCTTTGGACAAACCAATTCTTGATCTCACATTGTATCGAAGCATGATAGGCTCGTTAATATACCACACTGCTAGTAGACCTGCTATTATGTTTTCTATGTGCAATTGTGCTAGGTATCAATAAAATCCTAGAGAACCTTATCTTACTGCTATGAAGAATATTTTTCGCTATCTCAAAGGCACAATTTCGTTAGGATTGTGTATCCTTCAAAAACAACGTTTTTCATTCAAGCATTTTCAGATCCTGATCTTGGTGGGTGTCAAATTGATCGAAAAAGCACAAGTGGCGGATGTCAACTTTTGGATGGGAAGCTCGTAAGCTGGAATTCAAAGAAACAGACATGTGTTTCGATTTCCAGTGTAGAAGTAGAATATCTTGCTGTTGCAGCTTGAACTTCTCAAATCATATAGATTCAAAGTCAGCTGCGTGATTATGCAATCAACATGAAGAAAATTCTGTTGTATTGTGATTCACAAAGTGCCATACGCATTTGTCACAATCCCATGCAATATTCGAAAACAAAACACATTGCTCTTTGATATCACTTTATTAAAGATCATGTTGAAGATGACAACATTGAAGTTCATTTTGTAAAGACAACTGATTAGCTTGCAGATATCTTTACAAAGCCATTAGATGAACAATCCAGGACTGATTTTGTTAGAATGAGAAGCCAAAGTGTTGGAAAGATTTCAAATTCAACGGTTATTGTTCATAGTCAACGCTTCGACATGCTTCGCTTTCGACATTATGCACAATGGTTTGACAAAATATTCGATACTTTTTTCATTGTTTTATTTTTGCCAGTCAGGTACATTTCTTTTATTGTTTGCTATTTTTCTTCAAAAATAAAAAAAGACATTTCTTTTTTGTTTGTTAAAATTCAAAAAAATCAATTTTCTTTCAAAAATCAAAATTCCAAAAATATTTTGTTTTGATAGCTCATGCTTGCTGCTTTCTGGAAAGGTATATCGTTGAAACAATGTACTAGTTAATATGTCCCTAGAAGCATGCTGCAACATGTCGACCAAAGCATCCATCACTCAATGTGTTTCGAAGCCTTAATGGGTTTCTCATTACAAGGTTTCCTACCCAATCAGGCTGTATTCACATTAGTTCTTGATCTACTTTATTCTTCTCACATGACTTAAGAGTTTCCTGCTTGGTCCAATCATAGCATAGGTACTTTCGATTCTTAAATCACTCTTTTTCATCCTAAATTTCTTTCACAATCAGACACAAAGACACATACCCAAGACATCTCTGGTCGAAACCAACCAGGTTATAGGCATGTAAACATTTAGTGTTTATGACCTGGATTTAAGAAACGTGATGAAAGTGAAACCCAAAATTTCAAACCATTTAAGGAATTGACAGGGAACTTTGTTCCAGATTTTCACGACACATTTGTTTCAGTACCAATTTTCAATACTCCAAATCATATTCTTTCTTTTTGCTTGGTCTTAATAAAACGTTCGAAACCCATAACATTTTTACCCAAAGAGATCCAGTAATTATTTTGTTTTGTGGAATATGATTGTCGTGTGAGTATCAATCTGATTCTTTGTTACGTGATAAATTTTTCCAAAGCATACCTGTCACTGACTACACTGGTCAAACATGTAATTTCAATTATAATTTCTCACACTTATGTTTAGTTGTGATATGTACCGAAAATTTCAGCCACCCATATAGCTTATTAAAAGAATCCCTTTGATACTTCTCTATAAGTATTCGATTGTAATTCACGGGAAACAACATAAGGTGTTTGTCATCTCTCTTGATGAATAATGAAGTGATCTTTGCTTGGGATCTTACTTCATTTGTGTCAAAATATTTATGACATCACAGAAGCAAGATTTTCTTATTTTTTTTCCCTGTATTTTTCTTTGGTACACTTTTCACTCATGAAATCCTTGAGGTTCTGAGTACTACCAACTTAGGCTGATGATTTTGAAAGTCTGGCACATGACTTCACTTTTAAACCCAAAAGTGAAAGAGCCCAACAGATTACTGACAATTCTCATTCCATGGGGGCAAGCAAAACGTACGTTTGATGTGACGTTATGTATTCTGTGCGATTTCCAGGAAAAAGTGCACATCAATTTTTCAAGTGTGGCTATTTTTACGGCTACCGGTCCGTTTTTAAGGTGCCATGTCGGACACATTTAATGATACAAACTACTTCAAATTCAAATTGGGAGCATGTATAAAAAGGATTTAAAGATTCCATTCCAATTTTATGCTCACATACAATTCTCAAACGATTTGTGCTCTTTTGTCTCTGATCTTCTTCAAGCTTTCAAAACCCTAACCATGGTGGCCAAACATGTTGATTCTCATACCACTGAATATGTTTCTTCTCAACCCATCATGAAGATTCAAAGCACCAACTATCAAATTCAAAGCGATGTTATTTTCTATCCAGAGGGGTTATAGATGTTAATCCTTACTCTTCAAAATTCAGTATTATCAATCAGCAATGTTCAACTCCTTTTCTGTTCCTCTATCCTGGTTATCACTTGTTGGTTCTACGGCCACTTACAACAAGACGATGAAGATTGTGACATTTCAGATAATGAATGACAATAATTTCAGGCTGTCGAAGAAGCTTTTTGCTCAGATTCTCAATATCCCAAATGATGAACCTTTCTACAACGTAACAAATGAACAAGTTATTCATATGTTTAACGAGATGGGTTATCAACCTACTGTTACCAAAATCAATGAATTTAGGAACTATGGATTTCCTTGTATTTGGTATTTCTTATTTGGAATATATGTTTGATCCTTGATGGGAAGAACTATGGGGTTAGATAAAGCTCGATTAGAGGTATAAGCTATGGTTTTAGGTATATGTTATGATTTGTTAGTGGGCTATGCAACTCAACTTTGGAATGAGTTTGTTAAGAGTAAAAGGAATACAAATGCTATAGATGGTATTTCTTCTGAACGATACTAGAGTCTAATTCTGCAATTTGTTTATGAGAAGGAAGGGATTTTGGTTTCTGAAGGTGAAGAAACAGCAAAATTGTCGATGTACCATTATCAAAAAACTGACAAAGATAATCCATATGTGTTTTCGATGGTTGCTCGTATCCCAGATGTGATGTTGAGCAAAGTTGCTCCAACGATTCCTATATTGATAGCTTATTTGCAGTCTATCAATGCATCCATTTAGACTGGAGTTTTGTTACAACAATGTAATGAAGGTTATTTAAAGAAGAGCATAGGATCAAAGAAGGATGATCATGATAGTACTAAGAAATTTGAAAAACCGTCTCCAAAGAAAGTTTTTCAAAAAGAAAATCTTTGAAGAAAACTTCCAAGCTTGTTGTTAGCTAACCTAAAATGTCATTGAAGGAAGTGATACCTACACAATTAGGTGTGTTGAAAAGGTTGAAGAAGATGGATCATAAACCAAGCCATTCATCTGAAAGGTCAAAAAGTTTTTCATTGTCATTTACGTTCAAGCCTCAGCTTAATCGAAAGAGGGTTGTCTTTCGGGAAATTCCAACACCAGTCTCACCAGCATCAAAGAAAAGGATTGCAAAAGACATGGCCAAGAGAACTTCAAAGAAGCAAAAGAAAATGAGGAAGTTAATTATCAGTGAAGAATCAATGGATGAGGAAGTCGTTCTTGAATCTCCACTTGGAGATGATAATATGGCTATTCCATCACCGACGAGGAATTCTCCAATCAAGTTGAATTTCGAGGAGATTGGAAATTCTTGTGGCTCTGTGAAAGCATCTAATGTGGACGCAACCACTAATCAAGGTGATCCTTCGAAGATATCTAATCCTGAGAAGACAACAGTCATACTACCCGAAGTCTTATTAAAGCATTTTCAGATCCCGATCTTGGTTTCCTCTTCAGTAATTACTCTAGAGCTTCTTTCTGAGAAGTTTAAATTGTTGTAGTCTACAATCCAGAAAGAGCTTTCACTGCTTAGGAAGCTTATCAATATGATGCCAACTGATGCTCCACCTATTTCCATAGGGGTGCAAGGGGGAGAAAATGGAGGTGTTGGCATTGATTCGAGAGTTAGTGTTGGGGGAAGTGTATCGAATAAAATAGATGATGATGTGAAGGTTGTTGGGAAGGTTTTGCCTACTCAAAATTTCAACTTCTTTCCCAAGGTGTCTACAAATTCATCCTCTACAGCAACAACTTCGAAACCAATTCCCAAAGGAGTTGTAGTTGTGTCTACTGAGGGAGGTTCAAGATCATCAATACCACCTCCTTCCATTGAAGAAATGTTGAATAAAGGGAAGGGTATTTATACATAGCCTTCTAAAGAAGAAAAGAAAGCATCCATTAAACAAGAAATGGAGAAACAAAGTCAAATTCAAAGCATTCTTAGATAGAGAGCTAATGATTCTCCTAGTGTAAACAAAGGTGATCATTCGGAACATTATACTTATGAGTATATCGAAGCCTCAGTTGTTTTAGGAGAGATGCATGATTTTGAGAAAGCTCCAAAGAAAAGATATGATAAAGAGAACACCAAATTTAACCAGTTGGAGTTTCCAATCAATAAAATGATGTTCTTGGATAAGCAATTTGAGATTACTAATAAGTTCAAAGAAGATCTTGTTTAATCAGATGAAGTCTCGGTTCCATGCTGTACTTGGAAAAAAGGAAAAGGAAATATGGTCCTTAGTCAACATAGTTCGGGTTCTCAGTGTATCCAAAGACATTTTGTTTAAGGGTGTGTTACATAATTTTTGATATCATCAGTCCGAGCGAACAATTTTACTTTTGACTTCTCGGTTGCAGACTTTCCCTTGATGAACCTTCATGACTTGTTGGTTGTGGCAAAGATTTTGAAGTCTGTTGATGTGTTGAAGCTGCTGGTGACCAATAAAGAAGATTTTTTACTTGGGTTTGCACATATAAAGATTTTCATTTATGGCTACTATGGCGCTTAAGCTTTAACTGACATTGTGTTAGCTACAACATTGGGAAATGAGATTTTTGTTCCTAAATCATTGATAAAGAACCAAGTTAGTTTGAAAGATTATGAAGATGGGGATATTTGTTTGAAACCATCGGGAATTGTGTTTGTTGGTAAAAATAAGAAGGGCAACAACACAAATTTTTTATTCCAAGTGTGTGATGTTGAGAGATACACTTCTTCTCATTATAAAAATCTCTTAATTCGAATGAATAGCTATGCCAAGAATAACAACAAAGATAAGGTAGAAATTTGAAGATTGTCAACCGGTATGCTGACGTTCGATGATTTTTGCATCAAGCTACTCAGATGTTGATGACCTGATTTGTCACTTCTCACAAAGGGGGAGAATGTAGATGTCAAATATTGTTGTGAGGTGATGAAGGTCATAGATTGTTTTGATAGTTTGTTATTTTATTATAAGGTCACTTTATGTATCAAAGATTTTAGTGTTCACTCCCTTATATTTTTTGCGTGCTTTCATGATCCCTATAAATATGGGAGGTGTACTAGAGATAGATAAGAACATTCACCATTTTTGTCTGAAAACTCTTTGTACTTCTGAAAGCATAATTAAGACAAACAGATATTATTTAGATCTCGTGTTCATCAATCTTACTTTACTCTGATCTCATAACTCTTACTCGATATCATTACAACTACAAGTATGCCCTGGGTATAGGCTAAGTACGCCCAACATACTTATCTAAGTTGACCCAGTTGACTTTTTGACTTTTTTGGACTTTGACCAGGGTTTGATCATGTTTGACCTAATGGTATTTTAGGTATTTTGATTACAAGTTAAGTTTGGTCATCTTCTAACGAATAGGTAATCAATTGAGCTGATATTCGAAGTTGTGTTTTGTTCAACGATCTTTTCAAGGCACCAAGACCGACCCACTAGATTTGTTACCATGGTATATTGATTGATGTTATGATTAGTATGTGGTAGATCTTTATGATTACCTATTCATTGTTGATAGGCATTAGATTGGTAGATCTGTATGATTACTTGTATTATTGGATATATGTTAGACTGGTAGATCTATAGGACTACATGTATTTGTTGGCTATTGATTGTTATGATACATGTTGATGTGTATGGTCGATTGGGTTGAGGCGATCTTGCTTTATGCTGAATGCCAAGATACTTAGGGTGGTTCGGATAGACCGAAGGCCTACAAGGCGGTCCAGTCAGGCCGAAGGCCGAGAGAGCAGTCCAGTCATACTGAAGGCTATGAGAGCGATCCAGATAGTCTATAGGCCCAATGCGGTGGTCTAGTTAGGTTGAAGTCTCATGTATGCATGCTGTTATTTGTATGGTTACATGTGGTACTTTTGGGGAACTAACTAAGCTTTGGCTTATGGTTTAAGTTTATGTTTCATGTACTTCGGATGACCTGGGCAAGGAGAAGGCGTGATCATACACATCCTTCGATGTCATGTTTTAGGAGATTTTATGATACATTGATCTTAGAAGTATTTGTATTTGACACTTGATTCGATATGGTTTTAGTTGAAAACAATGTTTTATTTTATGTTTAAAATGAAAATTTTTATCGTGATTTTTGGAATGTTACAATTTTTTTATTATTGTGTTTCATTTTTGTATGTTTAGAATCCACTTCCCGAGTATTGAGTTACTCAAACATCCACAGTCAGTAATATTCTTGGTAGTAAGTAGTAGTTAAATATGGTCATGAAGTATTAGTTGATGGCTAACGGAGATTAGACAAAGCATGGAGATGCGACTAAAACTCATGAGTACTTAAATGAAGATTTTAAGTACTGGAAACCCACACTTAGAGAGATTACTTAATGGATTTAATCACAAGTTATTCTAAAATGATAATATCTTCAATTCTTCAACCAAATATGCATAGGTTATATTTTATAACTCTATTGTGCATTGGTTTTAAATAAAAACAACCATAAATGGATGTTATAAAATGTATGCCCATGTATGATATGATGTGTTGATTATGATTATGTAATTAAAGTTTATTTGTTCCTTTTTCCTTAATAGGACAAACAATATCTTGGGTCCCTCTGTGTTTTGATGTTAACAATATGATTTTGGGACTAACCTGGACTAAATTGATGTGTTGAATCTTGTAGTCTAATAAGGTCATCATAAATCAGACATCGGGAAACAAAATATTGGACTAAATTGATGTGTTCAATCTTGTTGAACTAATGAATAATTGATCACTTATCTAAGGGATGTCTTTAAGAATATGATTTAGAGTTTGAAAGTTGCTAAGGAAGAACACTTTGTTGGTTAATTGGGAGCCTTGTGACAATAATAATTGATGACTTGTCCAAGTGGGATTCTGTTGAAATAATATCCAATGTCATAACTAATTGGTACAAATTTTCATTGATATCAGGGTCCTTTTTGGGTTGTCTTTAATGATCCAAATATTATTACCACATTATTAGAGAGATGTGGTTTATTAATTGTTCATAAGATGATAAATTAATTATAAATTGATTTGGAATTAATTCAAAGTGCAAAGACTAAATGTTAATTATAAAATAGTTGAATAATGGAAGGTTCTGGATCCCTTAAAAGGGTCGATGAAAATCGCAATTGATAAGCCTTGCAGATTTTATCCATGCTAGATAAAAGGAAGGAGATTAAAATTTTAGATAAAATGGACTATTTAATTATTATTTTTATTTGGTTTCCAATTCAAATCAACTTTCGTTCCAAGCAACCATAAACTTTAAATACCTATCCTAGGCACCTCAATATTTTTGTCACACTCCCCTTTATTTGATAGACTTTCTTTCTTGATTAATTCCGTTGTCAATATCTATTATTCTAGGGTTTAATATTCTTGCATGTAATAGTTTGGAATTGTTGGGTGTGGAGCTTTAGAGGTAATCGACTTTGATTACGCTTCATTGACTTGGAGATTTCGAAATCATCATCAAAGGTTCTTCAAGGAAATTGGTTTTGCTAAATATTAGTATTTCTTAATCCCTCTTGTAGTTTTTCATATTATTTAGGTTAAAGATCATTGTAGGTTTTAGTTGTTTACTTGCGTTTGATTAACATACAATTTCTGCTGCTAAATGATAATCTAGGGAAGTATTGGAAAACCTATCAAATACATTGTTCTAGAATGTTGTATTTAGAGATAACTGACACATGATATGCATAAGATTGAAAAATATAGTTTTGAATTAGGAGCTTAGAAGAAAAAGGAAATATTTGGACTAAAATAGAGCTAATAAGGATTAAGCTCAAATCTGGCATAAAATATTGGGTTAGTGCTGCTAAGAATATAGTAAATAAGTTTAAAGGTTCAAGAATCATTGGAACAAATAAATCTTAGCGATGAGAAGACTAAAGCATAGCAGTGTGACATTTTATTTTCTATAAATACGAGATTTTGGATTGCAATTTAGTATGCAGAAAAATATACCTCTCTATTAACAAAAATATTCATCCAATAACACTTTTGGGTAGAATAGAAGGATGAAGAATGTGATTGAAACATCGTTTTGAAGATCAAGGCATGGAAACATGTCACACCCCCAAACCGGAACGACAGAAACGTTCGAGGGTGGAGGATGTCATGTTTAAGTATCATAACAATTGTAATATAGTAACCAAAGCAATAACAACCATTATATTAATAATATAAAGTTTACATTGTGTTCAAAACATTACTTGATTTACATTAAAACTATAACAAAAGAGAAGACGTAAAGCTCCATCTTCGAAACACCTGAGAGGGTACCTATCTACTAACGTTCATGAGAATACAAGTTGTTTGAAAAAGTGTCAACATTAAAGTTGGTGAGTTAATAAGCATTTAGTTTTAGAAAACAGGTTCTTTGTTCTTTTTAAAACATGATGTTTTTCCCCAGGAAATCCTATATCTTCTGATGTAATAAATGATAAGTAAAATGATACTTACTAGTTCCTTTTACGAGTACTTAGTGTATACA